AATATAATCCGTTTTCTGACTCGCCATGCTCGATGTCTTTAGTCGCATCAGTCTTCATTTTTAGTCCTATCAGTCGAAATCATTTCTCTATCGTTCACATGCATTCTCTTTTTCTCGTTTCTCCAAATATGTACTTTGAAAATCCTAATATATCCAACAGCCGGTACAAAACCCACGCACTGAACTCCCGCAGGATTCAGTCTGGGACTTTCGTGGCGCTCAGACGTTTGTTAGTCCAAGCCCACAAGTCCAGGTATTGTTGCCTTCTAAGTATATGAACTTACAGTATATAGAAGTATATAGATCAATCAAAGATCCTACTTTATCAACCAATTCACTCGTTGCTTGCAATATATTATAAAAAGTGAGAATAGTCTGTCAACTTTTGACTTTGACTCTTTCTTCTCCAGCTCAGTGGAAATTCTCAGAATTCTCTCTACGTCTGCCTGATATGCTGCAAGTTCAATCTGTTTATCCGTTCACCTTCCACTGTAGTCGGTACTTTGATTAGTATCCAACTTTGGCTCTTGCTTGAATCTTGCTTTCTTACATCATCAACAGGATGATTTCCATAGAAATATAATCCGTTTTCTGACTCGCCATGCTCGATGTCTTTAGTCGCATCAGTCTTCATTTTTAGTCCTATCAGTCGAAATCATTTCTCTATCGTTCACATGCATTCTCTTTTTCTCGTTTCTCCAAATATGTACTTTGAAAATCCTAATATATCCAACAGCCGGTACAAAACCCACGCACTGAACTCCCGCAGGATTCAGTCTGGGACTTTCGTGGCGCTCAGACGTTTGTTAGTCCAAGCCCACAAGTCCAGGTATTGTTGCCTTCTAAGTATATGAACTTACAGTATATAGAAGTATATAGATCAATCAAAGATCCTACTTTATCAACCAATTCACTCGTTGCTTGCAATATATTATAAAAAGTGAGAATAGTCTGTCAACTTTTGACTTTGACTCTTTCTTCTCCAGCTCAGTGGAAATTCTCAGAATTCTCTCTACGTCAGCCTGATATGCTGCAAGTTCAATCTGTTTATCCGTTCATCTTCCACTGTAGTCGGTACTTTGATTAGTATCCAACTTTGGCTCTTGCTTGAATCTTGCTTTCTTACATCATCAACAGGATGATTTCCATAGAAATATAAACCGTTTTCTGACTCGCCACGCTCAATGTTTTTAGTCGCATCAGTCTTCATTTTTAGTCGTATCAGTCGACATCATTTCTCTATCGTTCACATGCATTCTCTTTTTCTCGTTTCTCCAAATATGTACTTCGAAAATCCTAATATATCCAACACTAATGCCCTGGGCGTATCGATCCAAGTGAATGGAGAGCGTCCCAATGGCACAGTGTTCCAGAACAAGGTGGCGACCATCTACGTGACAGACTGCAGTTCCCTAGTCCTGTGGTCGACAGAGGGAGAGTGAAACATAGAGGGACAGAGAGATGGCCGAGACATCATGGCATCTTGGGCTCTTCTTTTTTCCAAATCAGTGTTAGAAGTAAGCGATCCACTGCCGCCTGCAATCTACCTGTTTCAATTGACTGCGATCTAGCTGTCCAGGTATTGTTGCCTTCTAAGTATGTTAATTTACAGTATATAGAAGTATATAGATCAATCAGAGATCCTACTTTATCAACCAATTCACTCGTTGCTTGCAATATATTATAAAAAGTGAGAATAGTCTGTCAACTTTTGACTTTGACTCTTTCCTCTCCAGCTCAGTGGAAATTCTCAGAATTCTCTCTACGTCAGCCTGATATGCTGCAAGTTCAATCTGTTTATCCGTTCATCTTCCACTGTAGTCGGTACTTTGATTAGTATCCAACTTTGGCTCTTGCTTGAATCTTGCTTTCTTACATCATCAACAGGATGATTTCCATAGAAATATAAACCGTTTTCTGACTCGCCACGCTCAATGTTTTTAGTCGCATCAGTCTTCATTTTTAGTCGTATCAGTCGACATCATTTCTCTATCGTTCACATGCATTCTCTTTTTCTCGTTTCTCCAAATATGTACTTCGAAAATCCTAATATATCCAACACTAATGCCCTGGGCGTATCGATCCAAGTGAATGGAGAGCGTCCCAATGGCACAGTGTTCCAGAACAAGGTGGCGACCATCTACGTGACAGACTGCAGTTCCCTAGTCCTGTGGTCGACAGAGGGAGAGTGAAACATAGAGGGACAGAGAGATGGCCGAGACATCATGGCATCTTGGGCTCTTCTTTTTTCCAAATCAGTGTTAGAAGTAAGCGATCCACTGCCGCCTGCAATCTACCTGTTTCAATTGACTGCGATCTAGCTGTCCAGGTATTGTTGCCTTCTAAGTATGTTAATTTACAGTATATAGAAGTATATAGATCAATCAGAGATCCTACTTTATCAACCAATTCACTCGTTGCTTGCAATATATTATAAAAAGTGAGAATAGTCTGTCAACTTTTGACTTTGACTCTTTCCTCTCCAGCTCAGTGGAAATTCTCAGAATTCTCTCTACGTCAGCCTGATATGCTGCAAGTTCAATCTGTTTATCCGTTCATCTTCCACTGTAGTCGGTACTTTGATTAGTATCCAACTTTGGCTCTTGCTTGAATCTTGCTTTCTTACATCATCAACAGGATGATTTCCATAGAAATATAAACCGTTTTCTGACTCGCCACGCTCAATGTTTTTAGTCGCATCAGTCTTCATTTTTAGTCGTATCAGTCGACATCATTTCTCTATCGTTCACATGCATTCTCTTTTTCTCGTTTCTCCAAATATGTACTTCGAAAATCCTAATATATCCAACACTAATGCCCTGGGCGTATCGATCCAAGTGAATGGAGAGCGTCCCAATGGCACAGTGTTCCAGAACAAGGTGGCGACCATCTACGTGACAGACTGCAGTTCCCTAGTCCTGTGGTCGACAGAGGGAGAGTGAAACATAGAGGGACAGAGAGATGGCCGAGACATCATGGCATCTTGGGCTCTTCTTTTTTCCAAATCAGTGTTAGAAGTAAGCGATCCACTGCCGCCTGCAATCTACCTGTTTCAATTGACTGCGATCTAGCTGTCCAGGTATTGTTGCCTTCTAAGTATGTTAATTTACAGTATATAGAAGTATATAGATCAATCAGAGATCCTACTTTATCAACCAATTCACTCGTTGCTTGCAATATATTATAAAAAGTGAGAATAGTCTGTCAACTTTTGACTTTGACTCTTTCCTCTCCAGCTCAGTGGAAATTCTCAGAATTCTCTCTACGTCAGCCTGATATGCTGCAAGTTCAATCTGTTTATCCGTTCATCTTCCACTGTAGTCGGTACTTTGATTAGTATCCAACTTTGGCTCTTGCTTGAATCTTGCTTTCTTACATCATCAACAGGATGATTTCCATAGAAATATAAACCGTTTTCTGACTCGCCACGCTCAATGTTTTTAGTCGCATCAGTCTTCATTTTTAGTCGTATCAGTCGACATCATTTCTCTATCGTTCACATGCATTCTCTTTTTCTCGTTTCTCCAAATATGTACTTCGAAAATCCTAATATATCCAACACTAATGCCCTGGGCGTATCGATCCAAGTGAATGGAGAGCGTCCCAATGGCACAGTGTTCCAGAACAAGGTGGCGACCATCTACGTGACAGACTGCAGTTCCCTAGTCCTGTGGTCGACAGAGGGAGAGTGAAACATAGAGGGACAGAGAGATGGCCGAGACATCATGGCATCTTGGGCTCTTCTTTTTTCCAAATCAGTGTTAGAAGTAAGCGATCCACTGCCGCCTGCAATCTACCTGTTTCAATTGACTGCGATCTAGCTGTCCAGGTATTGTTGCCTTCTAAGTATGTTAATTTACAGTATATAGAAGTATATAGATCAATCAGAGATCCTACTTTATCAACCAATTCACTCGTTGCTTGCAATATATTATAAAAAGTGAGAATAGTCTGTCAACTTTTGACTTTGACTCTTTCCTCTCCAGCTCAGTGGAAATTCTCAGAATTCTCTCTACGTCAGCCTGATATGCTGCAAGTTCAATCTGTTTATCCGTTCATCTTCCACTGTAGTCGGTACTTTGATTAGTATCCAACTTTGGCTCTTGCTTGAATCTTGCTTTCTTACATCATCAACAGGATGATTTCCATAGAAATATAAACCGTTTTCTGACTCGCCACGCTCAATGTTTTTAGTCGCATCAGTCTTCATTTTTAGTCGTATCAGTCGACATCATTTCTCTATCGTTCACATGCATTCTCTTTTTCTCGTTTCTCCAAATATGTACTTCGAAAATCCTAATATATCCAACACTAATGCCCTGGGCGTATCGATCCAAGTGAATGGAGAGCGTCCCAATGGCACAGTGTTCCAGAACAAGGTGGCGACCATCTACGTGACAGACTGCAGTTCCCTAGTCCTGTGGTCGACAGAGGGAGAGTGAAACATAGAGGGACAGAGAGATGGCCGAGACATCATGGCATCTTGGGCTCTTCTTTTTTCCAAATCAGTGTTAGAAGTAAGCGATCCACTGCCGCCTGCAATCTACCTGTTTCAATTGACTGCGATCTAGCTGTCCAGGTATTGTTGCCTTCTAAGTATGTTAATTTACAGTATATAGAAGTATATAGATCAATCAGAGATCCTACTTTATCAACCAATTCACTCGTTGCTTGCAATATATTATAAAAAGTGAGAATAGTCTGTCAACTTTTGACTTTGACTCTTTCCTCTCCAGCTCAGTGGAAATTCTCAGAATTCTCTCTACGTCAGCCTGATATGCTGCAAGTTCAATCTGTTTATCCTTTCACCTTCCACTGTAGTCGGTACTTTGATTAGTATCCAACTTTGGCTCTTGCTTGAATCTTGCTTTCTTACATCATCAACAGGATGATTTCCATAGAAATATAATCCGTTTTCTGACTCGCCACGCTCAATGTTTTTAGTCACATCAGTCTTCATTTTTAGTCGTATCAGTCGACATCATTTCTCTATCGTTCACATGCATTCTCTTTTTCTCGTTTCTCCAAATATGTACTTCGAAAATCCTAATATATCCAACAATGGTGCTGATCGTGAACGAAAGGCAAAGGTTCCACTTTATCTTCGTAAGACCAAGAATCTTGAGTCCTTTTGCACAATGTTTCTCTCCTTCAAGAACCTCTGCAAACATTGGAGTCTCACAGGCAATACTAATGCCATTGGTGCTCTCGAGTTCGCTCTCTTTGAACAACATCTTGGCGGCAATGCCCTCCATGAGTGGCAAATCATATCAAACAACGCGCCAAGTAATTCGGTCGCGCAATTCAAGAATTCTGTTGACACTTTTATTACCAGGATGTCAGCTGGCAAATCTCCACGGAACAACGCAAGCTCATTTCTCAAATCTCCGGCAGTCAGAAAGACTATGAAAACTGATGTTTCTGAACACATTCGGCGACTCGAACTTCTATGTTTTTATCACGACATGCTTCCGGGAACATCTCAAAAGCTGGATGAAACTGACAATATTTCTGTACTGGCGAAAAAGACGATCATCTACAAATCTTTTCCCAAGCAATGGCAAGATCTACTTTGTCAACAAAAAGGACCGATTGAAGATCCTTCCATCACAGTAGCAATAATGGAAGAATACTTTCAAGCTACTACGATCCGCATGGACAACACCCTTGCTGCAAAGGAACGAGTTCGTGAACGAACTGGACGTGCAAGCCATCATCTCTCTCGCACTGGATCTCACAATCATCGTTCTTCTAATCGTGGCGGTTGAGCAAATGTAAACTCTTGCTATGTAAACTCTCGCTATGGCGATTGGCGACTTGGCTCTAGTCAGCCTTATCCTAAGTACCAGAATCAAGGACAGCAGAATGGTGGAAATCGTTATCCACCAAGACCTACGAACAACTATCAAGGAAGACCAAGTGGCAACAACCAAAACCAGCGTCGTTTTGGAAATCAAGCTCCAAACAATCGAGCTCCCAACAACAGACCTCCAGGAAACTCTCAGGGAAGAGGTTTTCAAAATCATCATTATGCTGAATCACATTTCAATCAAGAAGCGGGATGCTTCGTTCCGGATGGAACTGTCCCAGTAGAGGACCAAGGCGGAATGCCTCAAGGCGGAATGCCTCAAGGTGGAATGCCTCAAGGCGGAATGCCTTCTGCCGTAGAGCAGCATGCTGAAGATCAGCCAGAACAAAATGATCAATACTTTGTCCAAGGCCAATTTGTTCAATTGTATGAACAAAATGAGAATGCATCCTCCTCCTGAAGAATGGCATCCTCCAAACGAATCGTATCCTCCACAAGATCATCCAGGCTATTATCCTTATGATGATGCCGAGCATTATTCCTATGAAGGTTACTGACCTTCTCTCCAAAGCAATACTTGTTTGCAGTCTAACCGTTTAATCAATCCTTTCCTCCAATCTAATCTTTCATCTTTTGCTACAGCATCGACCCCTGATCACGGTCCGATGACGCAAGAAGAAATACATTTTCTTTTGAATGACTCTCTCATTTGTGTACCAACTCCAAAACAAACCTTGGAATCTACGGGTGAATCGATGAACAAAAAGAAATTGACACCTATTTCTTTGATGCAATGGGGAAACATTGCCGGAAACCATTCTGCAAAACCACTACGAGTATTGTTTGATTCTGGAGGCGAAACTACAATGATTCATGCAAGAAGTATTCCACAAGGCGCGATGGTAAAAGTTAATACTATGGCTAAACCTGAACTCTACCCAACCGACCGTATAGAAAGGTTTTGAAAGAAATGAAGAAGAAGAATTCCTTATTCCGGCGGCCCGAGGCATGCGAGGACCGCCGCACGTAAGAAGCTACGAGACTGGATGTGCCAGCGAGAAATGACCGAATTGAGTGGCTTGAGCTCCACCAAAGGCACACAAATCAGTCCAACTTGGAACTTGAGCAAAACACATCCAGACTCCAGCAATAGGTAGAAAATTTTTAACTGCTAGGGGGGAGAGAGTGATTTTTAGACAAGATTCTAGTGCCAGTTGAACCGAGGAGTGCCACCACCTGCCATGACAAGTATACCCGGATTCCTCACAAGTGTCTTCTCGCCAAACACCGAACGGACAGGCCGTGGTACCACTGTACCAGCGAGACTGTACATTCCGACGCATCCAGCGCTGGAGCCAGCAGGGCCTCTAGCCGGTCTCGTCATTCTCATTTGACGAGAACAGCGTCAGCAGCGCCCATATCGCCCGGCGAAGTATCGCCAGATTCAAACCACATCTGCCGAAAGTGATGGCGACGACGAGGAGCAAGATTTCAATTCCGACCATGATGCAACATTGTCAGATGGAGGACCCAGCAGAAACCCAAGAGGACCAACGCCAGACACAGAGCCAGAAGACACCGCACCAGAAGACACAGAGGCAGAAGCCGAGAGTCGGCAGAAGAAGAGGAAAGAGAGGTCCCACTCAATGCATGGGTCCATCTCGCTCATGAACATTGCCGGGCCGTATGCAAAGGACCGACCTCCAATAGTAAGAAGCACCGGATTATCTGTGGGAAACTCAAGACCAAGTGCCGCCTGCACCGCGTCTTGAGAGAAGAAGGACACCGTGCCAAACCTATGTGGTATGAGGGAATTGTCTCCACCAAGGACAAGAACACCAACACTGGGGATTACATCATCCACGGTCAACAGGATGGTTTCAGCCGATCTGAAGAGAGAATGGACGAGAGCCTCAACCGGGCTACAGGATTAGACGACGAGGAGTCTCCTTCTGAAGATGAAGAGGGACCCGAGGACACTGACCGCAAAGAAACAGACTTTGAAGCAACAGATTTTGAAGCCAGTGAGGGAGAGACAGAAGGCCACCTCAACGAGGATCCCGAGGCCGATGCTCTCCAAGAGCTTAACGATAAGATCGCTCTGATGGAAAGAGAGACCCAACTGTTGAGGCTGAAGGCGGAACGTGCTAAACTAGAAGCGGAGTTGCCCAAGAAGAAACCGGCCCGCAAAGGGAAGCAGGCCACTCCCAGCAAGAAGAAGGGTCGAGCAACAGCCCGCAAACAAACCCCAATCGCCAGAAAGAAGAAGTTGAGGAAGAACAAGCCTCCTCCTAAACAAGTGTCTATTGAAGAGGGCAACAACACTTCCAAATCCCCTTCCAAGCCAACTGCCGCCACCGCGAGAAAATTGGACCCAGAACTGTCAGCCACCACCACTACCGTACCATCTGTCCTCGACACAGTGCTACTGAAGATCCAACCATTCTTCGTCAAGCTCCAGAAATCCACAGAGAAGATGGATCGCATGATGGAGCAGCAGGCCCTACAAGATAGCCAAACCCCTTCAACTACTGGAACTCCTAATATGATTCCCATGGGATCTACCAACCTACCTACCGCCAACGGCCACTACAATGCCAGGACAATCAAGGGAAACGGACCAGCTCCTCCCACTCTACCTACCCAAACACCACCAGCAGTAATTACACCGACCAGACCTACTACCTACCAAGGGCCCATTCCTACCTACCAACAAGATGGGTCCAAGGGTGACAGTGACAAGATCCATGAGATCGAAATCACCAGTGTTGAGATTGATAAGGCAATGATGCCGGAGGCCATGACCAAAAATGCGGAGATCAACGGTACCTATGATAGAGCGGATGATATTGCGGCGTTACCAGGTAAGACTTCACCCGGTGGAGGAGACAGTGAAAGTGGTAGCGGAGTTAGCAAAGATGTGCTGACTCGACTTGCGGAGACTTTGGGCTCCGACAACTCCAAGATTACAATGCTTGATTCGGGATATGGTAGACGCAACCGTCATGGATTGGGTCTGATCACCTCCGAAGACACCCTCCTGGACGCCTACAAGCAGTGCTACAAGAAAGAGGACGTCATCTTCAAGAACTACCGGTTCAGAATGATGCACTACCTCGGTTGCCTCGGATACACGTCGTCCTTCATTGACGACTACCTCGAAAGGGGCCTACTCCCAAGGATTATCAGGGAGTCCTTCCTCAACTACACTGCCCTGATTGGCAAGATCATGTTCAAATGGAACGCCACAGCGGATCCATGGGAAGACTCCGAAGCCTTGGTCATCCTAAAGGTCCACTCTTCAAATCTACTGGACATTCGGACCAACTGCAACTCCAAGAAGATGCTCCTACTTCAGAACTATGCCTATCTTTGCGATGCCAAGAAGAAGGGCTTTGTCAACGACACCATCACTGAGAAGAATTTTGAACGCCAAGACCGAAGAAACCAACGACTACGCGATGAGCTCGAAGCAGTCAAGGCTATCAAAGGAGGCCCTAAAGAAGGCAGAGGCAACCCACATAAGGACCAAGACCCTTCACCAAAGAAATGCTCCCACTGCAAAAACCGCGACCTACACATTGCCGCTGGACTAGAGCACATCAAGACTGTTTTTCCTCTGAAGGACCAAGCCGGATCTTGGGCCAAGGCTGCAGCTGGAAAGGTAGCAGCCAAATATGCGAACGACAACAAGGGCGAGAAAACGCGTCCTATGGAAGAAGTTATCAAGGAGGTGTCCGAGAGTTGGGCAAAGTCCTAGACCTATTCGCCGAACACCAAAGCCGGAGATGCTACCCTTGTAGTAGACTCTGGGACCCATCGCCAGAGATGCTACCCCAGTAGCGGACTCTGGAGCCCCCCTACCGGAGATACTGATTCTTTAAGCAGACTCTGGACCCCATCAAAATGCACATCACACATCGGAACCACCCCTGAAGCAACCAACATCACACTACGAGCTGCGCTCCAAAACCCAACCGCCACTACCATCACTCCACTCATGACAAGTCGTCATATTATTTAATCTGTTATAACTGACTTTTGTTCGTACCTTTATCTGAACTTTCGAAGGTGAGAAACAATGTGTCTGCGAGGAAGAAGAAAGCGTGACTGTGGGGGTGGAAATTCGAAGGGTAGCTACTGTGGGAGCGATCGGGATTGAGAACATGGGAATTATTGGAAGTGGATGTGAAGTCATGCAATATGCATGGCCCAAGATCACTGTATCCTTCTCCATCCGAGAGAATGGTGAGACGGTACCGTCAGACTTGGAAGACCCACCGGTAGTGCTCTTTGGACCCCACCGATCTTGGAAGGGGCTCCTCAACACTTACCCAGTAGATTTGTTGGTGATCGAGCGAGGTAACTACAAGCAACCCAGTGGTAGCCCCCGTCGAGAACCATGGGAGGACATGGTGGAGTCCGTGCCTCCCGAAAAGCGACCAAAACTCGTCATTGAATGTTGGCGCTCTGATCCAACTCTATGGCAATATGGCCCAACCAGCAAGGCAACCACCACCAGATGGAGAGACATTGGCTACTACGTCAATTGCCAAACTATCAATGCAACTTCCATCGGTGGAGCCATCAACCAAGAGAGACCCCTAGTGGCCCGCACTCGAGCTGACATTGGAGCACAATGGGTGTGGGACAACCTGGACAGAGATCTAGCTGTGATTCGACCCATGGAAAATCTACTCACACCACCCGGTTTGGTACCAAGAGGCTCCTACTCTAACAACGGCACCAACCACACTCCGTATTCACTACACGACCCTATGCCCAACCAAATAGGAGCATACATTTGCACTGAAAAAGGAGTTCGGAGATTTTGAAGGAGGAAATGGCAAGAGGGCTTGGAATACCGAAAGGCCCAGAAATGAACTTGTCCAAGAAAAGCTTGCAACGAACAACATCGTTGTTTCATTGGGAATACCTATCACATTCACTCCAACATCTGTTCCCCAAGCCTGCTTTGGAATCAAGACCTACGCCGGCTGGGGACGGACCCGGCAACGAGGCTTCATCACCTGCTGGACCCACGACCTACAAGGATTTTGGTTGGGTTCCGGCAGATCTATCTCCAGGAGGGACTTGGCACCAGCAACGCATATCCAACCTCCGATGGGCTTCAGAACACTATCCAGAGCCCAAGGACATCTTTGACGATGGCCTTCATCGGTTGGCTGTGCATCGACAGAACTACAACAAAGACGGACCTTCCCCAAAATGGCTTCAACTGCTATGGTGGGAATTCCCATCTGAGCACTGGGAGGAACTCCGAACAGGCGCTAGACAGAATTTTTTGGAGAGACCGGAGCCCCACATTCGACCAAATGCCCCAATGGATGAAGAGATGTTGGAAGCCGCCGTCCAGTTTGTGGATGAACTTGTTGGACTTGGAGTGCTGAGACACATTGATGAGGGCCTCAAAGTCCTCACCAATGCGCTACTTTTTGTGGTCGGCAAAGACGGACAGCCTGGCGAGTGGAGAGTCATTGCGGACATGCTACGCGGCGGCCAGAACGATTGTGTGTGACAAGATCCGGTCTTCATGACAAGGATTGCCCACATCGTCGACCAAATGTACACTGGCGGATTCTCTTCAGTTGTGGACTTGTCCAAGTTCTTCTACAACTTTCCAACACACCCAGAAGACCGGCCGTATCTTGGTCTTCTACACCCAAAAACCGAGGAGCTGTTGACATACTACGGGCTTGCAATGGGAGCTGGAAACAGCCCAGCCATTGCATGCCGAATTGGATTGGCCTTTGTGCGTTTGGTGAAAGAAAAGTTTGATGTCTTCCAAGGAGAAGCCAAGGCCAACTGCTACTGGACCGGCTTCCAGAACAACGGATTTGATCCGAAACTTGGATACGGATTCATTCTTACTTCGGCCGATGGAGGAGCTGTGCACATCTGGGTTTGGGTTGATGACTTCCTTATCCATGGACCCTCCCATGAGAAGACCACTCGAGCTCTGGCATTCTTCCTTGACACAGCCGTTGACTGTGGTTTCCTTTTCCACCCAAAGAAATTGGTTCCACCTCAACAAGTGGTCAAATACTGTGGCTTCCTGTTCGACACTACCGACATTCCATGCCTACGAATCCCGGAATCCAAAAAGGACCGAGCCCTGGCCATCTGCGAATACCTACTCCAGTCACCAACTCACAAGAAGTGGTCACAATTGAGTCTTGCTGTTGCTGTGGGAGTTCTTGAGTCACTGACCAAAGCAACACCTCGTCGGCTTGGCCACACCCATCTGAAGGAATTTCACACACTAGTCCATCCACCTGGACTTGGGATCGGCGCGGAGCCTTACTACACAACGACATGCCTCAATTCTCAAGTACTTGATGAACTAAAGTGGTGGAAACAGTTCCTACTACGGAGTGAAGGGAGATATGTCAGAGGATGGGAAGCAGCTACCCTTGTCCCAACCTTTGGTGATGGTAGCGGCACTGGCACCGGTGGGACCCTCCAACTACCTAACTGTGACTTTGAAATGTGGCGCGGGAAGTGGAAACCGGCAGTCTTCATTTTTGCACTGAAAGAGACCCTTCTTCGGATCAAAGAGAGCCCCCAAGCCCACCTCGTCATTGGCACGACCGTCTTCTACTTCACTGACAACTCTGGAGTATATTGGATTGCTACTACTGGTTCCTCCAAGCGGCGAGATCTTCACCAGTTGCTCAGCGAGATCAGACTGCTGGAACTTGATCTTCAATGTGTCCTCCAGGTGATACACGTCCCAGGCCAAGTTTTGATCACGCAAGGCACTGATGGACTTAGTCGAGGAGTTTGGATGTCAACTCTACAAGACATCATGGACTCAGATCGACTGACACAAGCAATCTTCGATCCCATGCCACTGGACTGGACTTTGGTTTGGCAACACCTGCCTCATCTGGCACATATGGCCCAATACCGTTCCTGGAACCAACAATGGACAGCGGACCTCTGTTTGCACCAAACAACAGTATGGTGCCCGCCACCTGAACTGGCCCGGCAACTCCTGACCTTCTTGCTCAACTCTTGGGTCGAATGTCCATTCACTACTTCAGCAATCCTCTTTGTGCCTCGAGTAGTTGAAGCTTCCTGGCGCCACATGTCCCGCTACATCGAAGAGATCGGTACCATCTACCCCCACCAAACACAGCTACGCTTTCCACCTCTCCTTCCTATTCCAATTGTTGTTCTACACATGGCACCTCACACACTCTCGCTGACTCCATCAAGGTTGGACAAAACTCCCACTACCGCCCCCTCTTGGCATGCAGCCCAAGCCACACTTATGCGCCGGCTGCGTGACGAGATTCACCAAGAAAGCCATTGAGTTTCGCCTCCAATGCTCCTTTTCCACTTCAGGATTCGGGAAATTTCGGCCCTACGGGACTTGCTACCACCGGGAATGTTTTCGAGCTGGAGTTCCTTTCACCACCCGCCGACTTCGAGGCGAGGGCCTTCCATTCCCAAAGCAAGCAAACTGGCCGAATTTTGTGTGTGAAGCCTGTACCGTCCGTCAATACCTACAGCGAGAACTTGTCAAAGTTGATGATGTTATTTTGTTAATGTTGGAACGGGTCCGGCTCCTAGACATCATCTCGTCTTGGGCAAAGGGAACTCACGTCACCTACAAATCTAAGCTGAAGGTCATTCATGATTTCGAAAAGGAGTTTGCCCTCACAGTTCTTCGCCCATCCAATCTCATGGAGCCTCCATCTGGACCAGATATCTCTCTGATGTGGTGCCAAGAGTGGTACAGTCTTCGTCACTCCACAAGGAAATACGACAAAGATGTTCAAACAC